GGCTCTCTCTGTCCTCTGGCACGCTCACTCCAGACCCGTCGCCATCTTGCTCCCCCTCTTCTTTGCTTATTCTGCATCTACATGCAAGTAGCTGAACAGTTGTGGAGAAAAAGCACACAGTTAATCTGTATTTCATAGATTAGGTTAGATGGTGGTGACAGAAAACCTGAAATACAGTGGCTTACACCCCAGTTAGACTGGCTATTTTCTTTTTTTTTAAATTATTATTTTTATTTTGTCAATATACAATGTAGATGATTATTATGTCCCATCACCGAAACCTCCCTCCCTCCTCCCTCTCCCCCCTCCCACCCAGGTGTGTCCACTCCATTTGCTTGTTGTAAGAACTTCAAAAAAAAAAAAAAAAAATTTGGGTTTTTTTACCTCCCCCCCCCCCCCCCCGGGTTTTTTTTTTGTTGTTGTTGTTGTTGTTGTTTGTTTGTTTTTTGTGTGTGTGTGAGTAGACTGGCTATTTTCAAAGACACAAAATAATAAATGCTGGGGAGGATGTGGAGAAAGGGAAACCCTTATACATTGTTGATAGGATTGTAAGTTAGTACAACCATTATGGAAAACAGTATGGAGGTTTCTCAAACAACTATATATAGAACTATTGTATGATCCAGCAATCCCACTACTGAGTATATACCAAAGGAATGGAAATCATTGTGTTGAAGGGATACGTGCACTCCCATGTTTATTGTAGCTCTATTCACAATAGCTAAGATATGGAACCAACCTAAATGTCCATCGATGGAAGAAGATTGGATAAAGAAAATGTGGTATATATACACAGTGGAATACTACTCAGCCATAAAAAAGAATGAAATTCAGCCATTTGCAGCAGCATGGATGAGGGTAGAGAAAATTATATTAAGTGAAATAAGCCAGGGACAAAAAGAGAAATACCACCTGTTCTCATTCATAAGTGAGAGCTAAAAACACACGAATAAATAAGGAAACAACAATAATAATTTGAACTTTCAGAAGGAGAGAGCAGGACTGTGATTACTAGAGGTGGGGATGGGGAGTAGAGGGAGTGAGAGGTTGGTTAATGGACACAAAACAGCTAGGTAGGAAAAATAAGTTCTGTTGGTGTACAATTGAGCTAGGCATCTATAATTAACAATAACTTACTGCATGTTATCAAATGGCTGGAAGAGAGGAGATCAGATGTCCTCATCACAAAGAAATGATTAAGTTTTATAATGATGAATATAATATACTAATTATCCTGATTTGATCATCACACATTATATACATGTATTGAAATTCAACTCTGTACCCCACAAATAAGTATAATCAACATGTTTCAATAAAAAACAAACAAAATACAGTGGCTTAAATAAGATAGGAATTCACTTTCTCATAAGAATCTGGATATGGAACGTTCAGGACTGGTGGTTGTGATGGCTCCATGATCATCAGAGGTCAGGCTTTTTCTGTCTTTTGCTCTGCTGTGTGTGGCCACCATTCCCCAGGTTCCTTCAAGATCCAAGATGACTGCTTCTGCTTTAGTCACCAAGTTTGTATTCTAGCTAGCAGGAAGGAGGAGAAAGAGAGGAAAAGGGCAGCCCTCTTCCTTTCAGGATTCTTCACAGAAGTTCCATATTCCACTTCCCCTAGTAACATGACTATGACTGCAAGGAAGTAAGAAATGTGGTCTTCATTTTAGCATGTGCCCTGCTAAAAACTGGGAGTTCTGTTACTGAGGAAGAAGAGATGAGATGTTGGGGAACAAGCAATAGTTTCTGCCATATAAACCCACTGCACTCATTTCACATTCATGATCATAAAACGCAAACGAACACACAGCATGGCCCTGAAATGCTGATCCTACTATATTTTCCTAGTAAGTTGACTTTCCCAGTCCTTTCCCTTAAATCTCTACTCACCTATGCAGCCGCTAGTGTGTGCTGATGTCTTTGCCCCAAATTTCATAGAGAAAATAGATTTAAACACCTGAACCCTATGGTTAGAAATGGGGAGGAGCCTCCTCCCAAGAGAAAAGGGAGTAGTGGCTGTGTGGGCGTGATATATTTTTAACTTCTTAAGTTATATGCATTGCTTTCTATCAGACATCTCTTCCTCCTGGGACTGGTGACACAAGGGAACCATGCAGTCTCTGCTGGCCTTTCACCTGCATCAGATTCCTTTTGGTAGTTTCTCCTGTAGAGGCTACATGTTAAGTTCCTGTGGTGCAGTCTTGGTTACCTTGCCTTCTTCTGATTGGTTTTCTTTCAGATCACCTCTGCCAGTTCTCAGACACTTAAAGGACATGCTTTCTGCAGGACCACTCTGAAGGATGCTTCGGCATATTGCTAACCTGAGTGGATGGCTTGAGTTGACTTGGACACTCCCTCCCAACAGGAAGGGAGATATGACTGGTCACTAATGAAAGAGGTAATGAAGCTTTGGAGACAAGCTGCAAGCGGTGAAGCAACTTTACATCAAATGGAAAATGCATCTCTTTGCTGCTACATGAGCAGCTTTTATAGTCATTAAATTTACCTAAAGTGGCCCTTTTGTCTTTCTGCTTTTACTTTATTTTTGCCTTGGTTAGTGTTTCTGGGGTTTTCCCTATGGTTTCCATGTTAAGTGTTTCCCAGCCCGATTTCTGCTGTGGATGCTGCTAACCGCTCTGGTTTTCTCCCCTGGACTCAAGGAGGTGGAGACTGAAAGAGGGGAAGGTGGGGAGAACCATTTGCTTGGAAAAACTTGTTTAGATCTTTCTAGCATTGTCATTCAATGCCATTGCCTCAGCTGACAGTTGCCTCAGTTTATTCTATGTGTTTTACCTGAGGATTTCCCTCATGAACCTCCTTTTTAGTCTGTTAGTTTGTTCTTTGCCTTTAGGTCTGACAGCACTTGGAGTTTTAGAAAATGTCATTACTCATTGATAGGATCTGAGCAGTGGTTCTTGGCCCATTTACTACCAAGGTTATTTTGTTCTGTGGGTATCATGAAATAAAATATCCAAGAGCTGGTAGCATGTAATTTTTGGAGTCGGAGGACTTTGGTTCAAGTCCCCACTCCATTGCTTAAGAGTTGTGTAAGCTTGAGTAGTTACTTTATTCTCCTGTGCCTTGGTTTACTCATGTGTGACGGGGGAATAATAATGAAATGCTTATCTCATATAGAGTTCAATGAGATTATGCTTGTAAAGAGTTTAGTAGAGTTTGTGGAACATTGTAAGCTCTTATCAAAAGGGAGCGATCATTGAAAGATTTTGCTTCTAAAACAGACTGCATGTATTAGGATGTGCTGAGGCTTTTATTATTTCTGGCCGTGATCTCCTTTAGACCTTTTCCACTGACTTGCATGACAGCTTTGGGAACCTCAGGTGGGAACTTCTTCCTTGGGTGCTGATTCGGCCCATGAGGGTTGGTTTCCACTTGCAGTGTTTATCTTCTATAGAGGAGAACATTTGTTACAGCTCTTCCCCTTAGTTCTTTATTCAAAGGGCATTTAAAACAAGGTTTGACCACCCAGATTCCTCAGTAAATAAATAACAAGGAAAAAAAAAACCACCCAAAACAGATCAAGGGAACTTACAGATTAAAAGAAATTTAAGAGACATTTCAAGGGCCGGCCCGGTGGCGCACTGGATAGTGCGCCGCTTGGGAAGCGCGGCGGCGCTCCCGCCCGAGGGTTTGGATCCCACATGCGGACCGGTTCCCGCTCACTGGCTGAGCGAGGCGCGGGAGCAACGCCGAGGGTTGCAGTCCCGTTGCCGGTCCCAGGTCCGGTACGGGGGCAACACTGAGGGTTGCGATCCGTTGCCGGACACGGAAAAAGTCAAAAGACAAAAAAAAAAAAAAAAGAGACATTTCAACTCATTTCAATGTACTCTCCTTATTTGGATCTTGATTTAAACACAATGTAAGAAGTTGATGTAATTGATATAAAATTGATAAAACTAGCATTTGAAACACTGAAAAAGTGTTGAAATTTTATTTTACATTTATAAATAATTTGAACAATAAGTATCTGTAATCAGTCTTCCTCCTACTACTTTCTCCTAATCCTCTAGTTCCCTTTTATAAAGGCCAGCACTTTTTTTTCTAATACGCCTTTTTAGAAATAGTCTCTGTACATACAGTGATTTGTATGTGTATTTATTTTACACAAATAGTTGCACATACACACTATTAATAGCTTTATTGAGGTATGTGTAATTGACATACAGGAAACATGATCATTTTTAAGGTGTACAAATTGATAAGTTTTGACATATGTTTTGACTCATGAAACCATCACCAAATCACAATAATAAACATATGTGTCACCCCTGAAATTTTTCTCATACTCGTTCATAGTCTCTCTCCTCAAACCCCCTATCTCCCAAGCTACCACAGATTTTTCTGTCACAAATTCTGACATGTTGTGTTTATTTAAGTTCAAAATACTTTCTAATTTCTCTTTTCATTTCTTCTTTGACCCATGGGTTATTTAGAACTAGGTCATTTAATTCTAAATATTTGGGGATTTTCCTGAGATCTTTATGTTACTGATTTCTAATTTAATTCCATTGTGGTCAGACTTAAATAATTTGAATTTATTGAGACTTATTTAATGGCTCAGAATATGATCTGTTTGGGTAAATGGTTTATATTTGAGGAGAATATGTATCCTGTGGTTGGGTAGAGAGTTCTACAAATGTCAGTTGATTCAAGTTGTTGTTCAAGTCTATAATATCCTTGCTTATTATCTGTCAAATTGTTGTGTCGACTATTAAGAGAAGGGTATTGAAATTTCTGAAAATAGGGGCTGGCCAGTTAGCTCAGTTGGTTAGAGCACAAGCCTTGTAACACCCAGATCAAGGGTTCGGATCCCCATACCGGCCAGCTGCTGGTAAAGCAAAACAAAACAAAACAAAACAGAAAAGAAATTTCTGAAAAGAGTTTTGGACTTGTCTTTTTTCTTCTTGCAGTTGCTATAATGTTTTATTCATAAATTTTGATGCTCTTTTAATAGGTGGATAAACATTTAGGATTTCTATGTTGCCTTGATTAACTGACTCCTTATCATGATGAAATGACCTTTTTTATCCCTGGTAATATTTTTTGCTTTGAAATGTGCATTATCTAGTGTTAATATCACTGGCTGACTTCCTCTGTTTCTTCCTGTCTCCCCCTTTTTGTCTCCCTTCTTTTCTCCCTCCTTCCCTCTCTCTCTCTCATTTTATTGAGATATAGTTCACATACCATTAATTTCACCATTTTGTAATGTACAATTCAGTGGTTTTTAGTATATTCACAAGGGGCCACAACTATCACCACTAATTCCAGAACATTTTCATTACTCGGAAAAGAAACCCTGTACCTGTTAGCAGTCACTACCCGTTCTCCTCTCGCTCCGTCCCCTGGCAAGCACCAATATACTTTGTGTCTCTATGGATTGCCTCTTCTGAGCATTTCGTGTAAGTGAATCATACAATATGTAGCCTTTGTGTCTGGCTTTTTTCACTTAGTATAGTGTTTCAAAGATTTATCCATCTTGGGCTGGCCCGGTGGCGCACTGCTACAGTGCGCTGCTTGAGAGCGCGGCGGCGCTCCCGCCGAGGGTTCGGATCCCACATACAGACCGGCGGCTCACTGGCTGAGTGAGGTGTGGGTGCAACACCGAGGGTTGCGATACCGTTGCCAGTCCCGGTCTGGTACGGGCGCAACACCGAGGGTTGCGATCCGTTGCCGGTCACGAAAAAAGACAAAAAGGAAAAAAAAAAAAAGATTTATCCATCTTGCATCATGTATCAGTACTTCATTCTTTTTTTATGGTTGAATAACATCAATTAATGTGATACAACATATTCATAGAATGCATGGTTTACTGATTAAATCTTACTAGTTATAGGTCTATTTATATTTTCCATTTCTTCTTGAGTCAGATTTGGTGGTTTGTTTCTAGGAGTTTGTCCATTTCATCTAGGTAATGTAATTTGTTGGCATAGTGCATAGTTGTTCATAGTTTTTATTTCTTTAAGGTTGGTAGTAATATACTCACTTTTGTTTCTGACTTAGTAACTTCAGTATTCTCTTTTCTCAATATCAGTCTAACTAAAGGTTTGTTAATTTTGTTGATCTTTTCAAGGAACCAACTTTTGTTTTCCTTGATTCTTTTGTTTTTCTATTCTAAATTTCATTTATCTCCACTGTAATATTTTCTTCCTTCTGTTTGCTTTGGGTTTAGTTTGCTTTTCTTTCTCTTGTCCTTAAAGTGGAAGGTAGGTTATTCATTTGACGTTTGCCTTTTTTTTCCATTTAAAAAAATAAACTTCACCTTTTTTAAGAACAGTTTTAGGTTTACAGCAAAATTGACCAGAAAGTACAGAGAATTCCCATATGCCCCTTGTCCCCAACACACATAGCCACCCCCCACTATCAACATCCTATACCAGAGTGATATCTTTGTTACAATTGATGAATCTACATTGACTCATTATTGTCACCCAAAGTCCATAGTTCATATTAGGATTCTTTCTTGGTGTTGTACATTCTATAGGTTTTGACAAATCTATAATGTATCCAATGTTACAGTATATAGAATAGCTTCACTATCCTAAAAATCCTTTGTGCTCTGCCTATTCATCCCTCCCTTCCCTCAACCTTTGGCAATTATCGATCTTTTTACTGTTTCTATAGTTTAGCATTTTCCAGAATGTCATATACTTAAAAATCATACAACATGTAGCCTTTTCAGATTGGCTTCTTTCACCTTGTAATATGCATTTAAAGTTCGTCTGTGTATTTTCATGACTTCATGGCTCATTCCTTTTTAGTACTGAATAATCCATTGTCTGGATGTACCACAAGTTATTTAGCCATTCACCTATTGATGGACATCTTGGTCGTTTTCAAGTTTCGGCAATTAAGAATAAAGGTGCTGTAAATATCTGTGTGCAGGTATTTGTGTGGGCATGAATTTTCAACTCATTTGCATATTAAGGAGCATGATTGCTGGATTATATGATAAAAGTATGTTTAGTTTTGTAAGAAACTACCAGACTGTCTTCCAATGTGGCTGTACCATTTTGCATTCACATCAGTAATGAGTGAGTGTTTCTGTTGCTCTGCATCCTTGTCAGCATTTGGTGTTGTCAGTGTTTCAGAGTTTTGCCATTCTAGTAAGTATATAGTGATATGTTATTGTTTTATTTGCAATTCCCTGATGACATACGATGTTGAGCAACTTTTCCATATGCTTATTTTCCATCTGTATATCTTCTTTGGTGAGGTTTAGATCTTTTGCCTGCTTTTTAATCAGATTGTTCATTTTCTTATTGTTGTGTTTTAAGAATTCTTTGTATATTTTGGATAACAGTTCTTTATCAGATATGTGTTTTGCAAATACAGTCAGCCCTCTGTATCTATGGGTTCTGCATCTGTGGTTTCAACCAACTGTGGATCAAGAATATTCAGGAAAAAAATTGTGTCCATGGGCCAGCCCGGTGGTGCACTCGGTAGAGTGTGGCGCTTGGGAGTGTGGTGGCGCTCCCGCCGAGGGTTCGGATCCCATATAGAGACCGGTCCGCTCACTGGTTGAGCGCGGTGCGGGCGCGACACCGAGGGTTGCGATCCCGTTGCCGGTCGCGGTACGGGCGCGACACCGAGGGTCGCGATCCCGTTACTGGTCACGAGAAAAGACAAAAAGGGGAAAAAAAAAAATTGTGTCCAGACTGAACATATACAGACTTTTTTCCCTTGTCATTATTCCCTAAGTAATATAACAAATATTTATATGGCATTTGCATTGTATTAGGTATTGTAACTAATCTAGAGTTGACTTAAGGTATACGGGAGTAAGTGCCTAGATTATATGTGAATACCAGGGACTGGAGCATGCATGGATTTTGTATCTGGGGGAGGTCCTAGAACCAATCCCCCATGGATACCAAATACCAAAGGATGACTGTATTTTCTCCCATTGTGTGGCTTGTCTTCTCCTTCCCATAACAGTGTCTTTTTCAAAGCAGAAGTTTTTAATTTTAACGAAGTCTAGCTTATCAGTGATCTCTTTCATGGATTATGCCTTTGGTGTTGTATCTAAAAAGCCATTGCTAAATCCAAGGCAATCTGGTTTTCTTCTATGTTACATTCTAAGATTTTTATAGTTTTGCATTTTGCAGTTAAGTCTGTGATCTATCTTGAGTTAATTTTTGTAAATGGTGTCAGGTTTGATTCTAGATTCATTTTATTTATTCATTTTTGTGTGTGGATGTTCAGTTGTTCCATCATCATTTGTTGAAAAGATTGTTTTTTCTCCTTTGTGTTGCCTTTGCTCCTTTGTCAAAGATCAGTTGATCATATATGTGTGGGTCTATTTCTGGGCTGTCTGTTCTGTTCCATTGATCTGTTTATTCTTTTGCCAATACCACACTATCTTGATTACTGTAGCTTTATCGTAAGTCTTGAAGTTAGCTAGTGTCAGTCTTCTGACTTTGTTCTTCTCCTTCAATATTATGTTGTCTCTTCTGGGTTTTTTGCCTTTGCACATGAACTTTAGAATCAGTTTGTTGATATCCACAAAATAACTTGCTGGGATTTTATTGGGATTGTGTTGAATCTATAGATCAGGTTGGGAAGGACTGATATCTTGACAATATTGAGTCTTCTTATCCAAGAACATGAAGTATTTCTCCATTTATTTAGTTTGTTGATTTCTTTCATCAGAATGTTGAAAGAATAGTTTTCCTCATATAGATCTTAGACACCTTTTGTTAGGTTTATACCTATGTAATTCATTTTTTGGGTGATAATATAAATATGTTTGTAATTGCTGGTACATAGTAATTGACTTTTACATATTAATCTTGTATCCTGCAATATTGCTATAACTGCTTATTATTTCTGAGGTTTTTTTTGATTCTTTCAAAGGTTCTACATAGACAGTTGTGACATCTGTGAAAAGACAGTTTTTAAAAGTTTCTTTCTTCCTAATTT